TGATTCACTCCGTGTTATCATGCCTCAATGTCTTAGTCTGTATAATGTCCGTATGTATTCCTTTATTGAACAACAGTATATAAAATCATTTATGTAGAGTAAAAAGATGACGAGTTCTACTGAAATTTATAAATTCAACAAATCCTGCTTTAATTAAGTTTGCTGCTTGTTTTAAATTTGTTTCGGGAAAAAAATTTTTTCAATTCCTAGGAAAACTGACTGACTGGAGAATAATCAAACAACGTGAAAGACTTTGCCGGGAAGTTCATTTATAAATAAGACAACTATGATGTTTCAATCTTGTGGATAGTGTTTAGAAAAAAGCTTTATTTAAATTCTGCATTACACCTTCGTGTAGGATATGTCAATGAAAAAGATAACGCTAACAAACAATTTGGATAATCCTCAGAATTGTGAAATGAATGGGTCGACATTCTTTCAAAAACAAAAATACCTCAAAAGCAGTTTCTGATATAAGAGGCTTACACATTTAGCAGATACATACTGAAAGCAAATTCGTTTACACCAAGGTGCATGAATCATACACTCGATGTTATATCTATTAACGAAAAAATCTTAGTTCAATTATCACACAATGTGTTCCCTTAATCATTTTCATCACAGCAAGAAGAACAAGATTTGTAGAATAAATTAAGTTCATATTTATTTAACATCTTTTACTCAGCTGAAAACAGTCTAGAATAAACACAGAATTAGCATGGGATAAAATGAAAAACATACTCTTGAGTTGGAACACAGTAGTAACCATGTACATCACGATATACAGGTACAACGGGTAAAACTCAGTTAACAAATGTCAGCAATGCGAATAATGGTGATAGAGTTTGCTTATTGATAGGCAATTAGGAGGAAGTTTTAACAGTGAGTGTGGGGAATAGTCAAAATGATAAGTCAATTTAAAAGCCAATTGAGTGAACAAAAAATACTCTTCTCGATAACTTCTCCTTATGGCTTTACGGTTATATGTACATTATTATTATTTGTCCCTTAGGTTCCTAGTGGAACATACGGCTTCGGTAGCACGTCTCCAGTGCACTCTGTTCTCTGCAAACTTTTGAACCTGGTTCCACGACAGCCCACAACCTCCCATTTCCTCCTCACACGATCTCCTCCATGTCACCCTCACCTCGGACGACCAATTCGTCGCTTCCCATCTGGCTTCCACTCGAGTACCTGGCCTGTGACGTGATGTCCCCAGTTGGCCAGTCCATCTCCACTTCCTTCTGCATATTTGTTGAGTGATAGGTTCTTGGTTGGTTCGTTGCCAGGCCAACCAGAGTTCCTTGCTGCTTATTTTTATTGCTCTGGCCATCTGAGCTTCAGTAACGAGCCAGCGTAGGTAGTTGTTGACGAATGTCTGTAGTTTGTTGGAAATCCCTTTCGTAACCCGCCAAGACTAAGCCATACAGGAGCACTGACTTGACGTTGGTGCTGAAAATCTGGATCTTGTTCCACATGCTGAGTGCAGAAGATCTCCACACTGGTTTCAGGCTAATGAACGCCTCTCTTGCTTTTCCGATTCTGGCTTTGACATCCTCATCTATGCCGCCGTAGTTGAAACAGTGCTGCCTAGATAGGTGAAAGAGACTACTTCCTTTAAGTTTCCCCGTTGATGGTGATTGGTGTTCGCTGTTGTTGGTTGGGTATCTTCATTACCTCCGTCACCTCTACGTTCACTTGAAGTCCTGTCTTCGCTGCCTCGCATCTTCTGTCAACTTGTTGATTTTGGCCTGTAGATCTACGAGTTTGTGTGACATTAGACGTAAGTCATCATTGGTAGCGAAATCCAAATCTTCTAGGATCTTTTCTGCGATACAGCGTATCTCCCTCTTGTCACTGCTCACGGTTTGCTGCATGATCCAGTCCAGCACAATCAGGAAGATCATAGGTAATAATAGATAGCCTTGTTTTACTCCTATCTTCATTTCAGAGGCACCACTGAGCTTCCAGTTGTGAATTACTTGGCATGTGGCGGCGATAGTAGGCGGCAGCTTTGTCTTACTCCCGTCTTCACTTCCATTGTGAATCACTCAGTATGCAGCGTCGTCATGTAGCTGTTGAATGAGGTTGACTAAGGTTTATGGCACTAAAACCGTACTGTTGAATCAGCTGCTTGACAAATTACTTCTAGGTTGACGCTGTTGAAGGCCTTCTCAAAGTCGATGAAGTTGAGGTAGAGGTTTGACTGTTATTCTATGCTCTGTTGTATGATGACGCGAAGCGTACAGTTGCAATTTGGTCCACACATGATTTGTTCTTCCTGGAGCCAGCCAGCCTGTTCCGGTCGTGGTTTTGAATCCAGTGCATTTTAATATTTTGCTTGCTTTGGGTGGACAGGAGCATGATTCCTCGCCAGTTCTTGCAAAGACTTAGGACGCCCTTCTTTGGGAGTTTGGCAAGGTAGCCCTTCTTCAAATCAATCTGCAGGTACCTCTCTTTGCTTCCAGACCTTCTGCAATAGTGGTGTGAGCGTGTCCGCTGTTGTCCCTGCGTCTGCTCTAAGTGCTTCTAGCGGGATTCCATCTGGTCCTGGTGCTTTCCCGGATTTCAGTAGCTTGTTAGTAAACTAGATTATGCTCTTGAAGATGTTAGTTGTTGGGGATGTTTATCACCATAAAGGAAATTAAGTATTTCCACCGTTTATCATCCACACAATCGTGAAAAGTTTTCATCATTCTTGGCTTGTTTATTTTTCATCATATCATATTCTTATTGCACATTAGATTGGTTTCTTTGATATATAGCTCACTGTGATACAGTATTATTTGCCTCATAACATTTCGAGCGTAGATTATTGCTCATAATCATATCAATGTAATTACACTCCTTTCGATATCTTATTTTTTTAGTTTTGTCACATGATATTCTTCGTTTTTATTGGTAGTAAAGTTTTCCATATTGTGTGGTTGTGTGAGTGGGACGAAACCACTGCACTTAAGTCCAACTTAATTAGGTGGAGAGAAAGAGATTGATTACTGAAGCTTTGTTTATTAAATCTACACCCAACACATGTAATAGCAATGTTGCAACACCTATACCAGAGATATGGAAAACTTTACTACTGATAAAAACAAAGAATATCAGGTGACAAAACAATAAAAATCAAACGTCGAAAGGAGTGTGATTACACTGATATGATTATGAGCAAAAATCTACTCTCGTAACGTAATCAGGTAAATAATACTATATCATTGTGAGCTATATATCAAATAAACAAATCTGATTTGGAATTACATCCTACCACAGTGCACAAGTTTTACTCTTACATATTCTTATTGCTGTCGATATTTTTCTACTTCTGTTGGTTCTCTGATCTTTCGCTATTGTAAAATGTGGTGATTTAAAGTAATGCTCTTTCCTGTAAGGTTGTATGTTGTCTTATCTATCTGTTCGAGGAATGACTGGCTAAAACTAATTTGTTGCGTGTATTTATTGAGTATTTTGAAATAATAATTCCTTGTTACACTTGAATATTCTTCCAATTTAAAAATATCTAAATAGGATTCAATGCATGAAACAACCTGCCGTCTCGTATGAGTATGATAAAAAGGGGGCCTGCCGTATTATAGATCTCTGCGAAATCCTGTTTGTTACAACAAGTTTCTAAGTATTTATTGCTCACTTAATGCTTTTGCGGTTTATTCATCGTAGCTACAAGCTATTTGGTTTGTGGTGACCTCTTGTATTTACAAAGACTGAATGTGATTTACTATGTTTTAAGTGGACACACCTGCTAGATTTTTCTATCACTACGTTTCGCTTGTTCCATTAAAACAATCTGCCTAATGTACCACGATCCCCCCAAAATATAAGAACGGGACTAGACTACAGTGTAATACACTGAACTGTGAATGATAATTGTTTTATGCCCTATTGGTTAGCTTATTACGGGCAGCTTTCATATTGATTTGTATAAAATGGTGGAGCAGGTTTGTAGCTCAGAGTATAAATAACGATCGAGCTCTACATCCGGGCTTTGATATTTTGTCACGAACATTTCATGGCTAGGCTTAATGACGTCGTCAACTTGGTGGCGAAACAATCAGGACAAAGTATCAAAGCTCAGAAGACACCAAACCACCTTGTTTGTTATGAGTCGTTTCTTTAAGTAGTAGTAATATTGATTGTGTCAAATCTCAGTTCAAATAAGAATACATATATAGGTGTAAAACTTGGGCACTGTAGTAGAGTTTAATTCCATATTAGATTTGTTTATTTGATTTATAACACACAGTGACGTGGTATTATTTACTTAATGACGTTTAGAGCACAAATTACTGCTCATACTCATAATCATAGCTATTTGCTTTGTTATTCATCCTGTGTTATGCAATTTTTGTTCGCTAAATTAATGTAATACACTCTACGTTCTTTTAGCGGCAGTAATTTGATGCTGTTACTATTATTAGAACACAAACTTGGTACAGCAAGGCTACCAAGAAATGCGCCATGTGAAATAATATAACAGCATGAAGAAATGAAGTGAAGGGAAGTGGATAAAAAAAGAGAAAAGAGGTACAATGAGAATAGAGTGGTTAGAAAGGCAGTTCAACAAGATACGTTCAAAACAAAACATTCATTACTTCTCAGAAGCCAAAGATAAAAGGAAGCTACAACATAACCGCCACTGGTTTAGGTTCTGAGTCATGTCTGATAACGTCTCAAGCTACTGAGTTCCGTGATCTGCCAGACCTCACCCAAGGAGTTGTGATGCACCAGCAGTCACTAACCCGATATAGCTACTCTTCATTCCACGGCCCCACATCATACACTGACCACCCCTCCTCTTCTTCCACCCAGTTCCAGGACCAGAAAACAGTGAATGGTATGGAAACCGTTCGGATGATGTGTGTAACGCATGTCCAAACCTCTGAAGCCGGATCCCGTCTTAGAGCATTATAATGTTAAATTAAATGAAAAAATTTGTATGGTAAACTTAGTTTATTATTACTGTTAAGTGTAAATTCATTGCGTTCCAGGTTGCGGGTGTTGTTCTTCATTCTCCATTCATGTCTGGTCTACGCGTTGTCTGTCCGGGAACAACTCGTCGATTCTGTTTTGATCCTTTTACCAAGTGAGTTTCTATATGTAATTGAATTGTTTATTGTATCAGTGGTATTGGTTTTATACTATTTTCTGTCATTTTATCAAATATAGACCACCGACTAACGTTTTTTGTATAACCACTGATTTCTTTTCTTCGTAAGGAATTTTTCTCGTTCTAATACTAGTGAATTACTTATTTGCTATTTCATCAAAGAGTTATCTTCAAAAACAGTTTTTTGGAGTGATTTATTTGCATAGGGAGATATGCTTGGTGGCACAATATGCTTTTTTTTCCTATTTTAAACATTTTTTATACACGTTGCTACTGTTCGTAAGGAGTTATTCACTCCATCTTTTTTGCGATATCATGTTTAGTTATGGTTAGAAGTGCAGAATTTTCGCCTGTTACTAAGTTCATATATGTAAGAATGTATCTCGGCTGAAAATACACTTATTAATGAAAACAACTTTAAAAGATTGCTGTGTATTTATTTTTCTGATTTCATGTGTCTCTGATTATAAGGAGTTCGCTTATTAAATTGAAATGAGCATTAAATTCCAGTTTCACTTGCAAAGTTACCTACAGCGATTACATCACCTACTTCTAATCAATAAACAGCCAGCAATTGAATTTTCCCGTTGTGATTAACTAGTTAAAATTCTTTCTAATTGACAATGTTTTGTAAGTTAGGTAGCTCTCTCATCATATATGTTACTCGTAGCCTGGTACGCGAAGCTGAATGCAGTTGAAATCGAAACAAGCAAATCAGTATACTATTGTACTTGGTAAATAGTGAGTGAATATTTCCAAGTTCACAAGCCACTTTTGCTTATTGGTGGTATTTCTTAATAACTGTTGGTTCAAATGTCGGTCAGGTTTGTAATTGTTTCATCAAAAGTTGAAATGGACTAGAAATGTGGTTGTTATGATTAAAAAATTTAAGCTAACTTTTTATGGGTAATAATTAATACTCACTTTCATCACAAACTGATGTCAGCATAAGAAATACTACAATCTAGAGGACATCCCGCGGATGTTTTGTCGATTGACCTAATAAGTAAGAGAACTCTACAGTAACAGGTCTGTAACGCGTATTTTCTATCATTGGAAACCGGGTAAGGGAGTAACTGGTGGGAATTGTTTATATATATATATATATATATATATATATATATATATATATATATATGCATTAATGTACAGTTTTGTATTCCTGGTAACAAGCCACACTTATTGTGTGACGACCTTGTTCACACTTTGGCAGGTAGAGCGGAGTTTGTACTCACTAGTTGAAAGTCATTTGCATTGACCGATGAGTCACAGGTCCATTACGCATTCATTCATTACAATTAGTTTCCATTTGTGATCTAACCTGTAGGAAGTTTCTGCGAATCATTACTTAAATTTTTCAATGTTTGAAATACTGGGTATTCTTTTGCTTGCCCATTCAGTACAGAGAAAGATGAACGGATCAAAGTACAATTTGATGCAAATTACATCGGTTCAAAGAAACATACTTGACAGTGGCGTGCAAAGAAGTTCATAGAGGAAGAGTGATATCAAGGTCAATAGAAGTGTATAAGAGGAGGTAAAATCAACAACTGACAGTTCACCAAAATATTTAGGATTTCGAAGATCATAAAGACTATATGAATCTTTGCCATTTTAATTGGTTTTGACTATGATCACCAGGAGTTTTCAACCACTGGTTCATATCGTCTCGAGCACTCCAAAAAAGCAGTTTACATCTCCCTACATGGCTCAAACCAATATTCAGAGACTTCATGAACGGACAAGACGTCATGATCTAAACGCGCTAAGCATTTCTCCAACGTAGTTCTATTTGAGCTAACACCATTTGTATATGGTGACTCTGTAGGCACAACATATGTCCAAGCCACTTTATTCAGTGAAGGTTTACCGCCTTATCAACTGAAATCGTATGATTTTTCACATCAAACTACTTGCTGTTTTCAAAGTCAATACTATATTCGGGTTGCTGATTGATGTTGAAAGGAAACTTGAATTCCTGCAGAATTCGAACCATTAGCCGTGCTCTCTGCTGACAGAGATGCTAGACCTAAATGATGGTCAAGCCTCAAGTTTTGAAGTCTTTATTTATATACACAAGCACACCAAAAGTTATTTACTTCAAATGGCATTTTATGATGAACCAAGGAATGAAAATAGTTTTTGTACAACATGGGATATGGGTAACCTATATTCCTGCATACTTAGCATATTTTTTCTGACAAGCAAATCCTACGGATGAAGTTTTGAGCTAGTGTATTTCTGGATCATACATTTCATTTATCCACTGTTAGTTTATCTAAGTTGTTTTCTGTAGTTATCCGAAAAATGGTTGACTTGCAGGTGTAACCTGTTTACAAGACATGAAATCGGCACCGAGTTTTGAATCGAGGTGCCATAGAGTCAAATGTTACTCCATCTGTCAAGATTCGGATAGTTTAGCAGTATCAGTAACATGACTGGCTATCACATGATAGGTCTTTTTCATAGCACAGCATAGGAGGATGTGTTTAGTTGTATAGTCGCATTGAAACTATGCTTGGAGATGCAGAAATCTTAATACAAACACGGATGACTGGGCAATCGTTTATCTTTCATACGGTAGGTATCGCTCTGACAGAAATAAGAAGCAGTGGTGTAAATTGCTTGATTATCCTTAGCATTCCTATTATTATTATTATTATTATTATTATTATTATTATTATTATTATTATTATTAGTCCCTTGGGTTCCTAGTGGAACATAGGGCTTCAGTAGCACGCCTCCAGTGACCTCTGTTCTCTGAGATCTTTTGAACCTGGTCCCACGACAGCTCAGAAGCTCTCATTTCCTCCTCGCACGACCTCCTCCATGTCACCCTTGGACGTCCAACTCGTCGCTTCCCATGGGGATTCCACTCGAGGGCCTGACGCGTGATGTCCTCAGTCGGCCTTCTCAGTGCATGGCCAATCCATCTCCACTTCCTCCTGCATATTTGTTGCGTGATAGGTTCTTGGTTGGTTCGTTCCCAGCCAGAGATCCTTGTTGCTTATTCTTTCTGGCCATCTGATCTCCAGTAACGAGCGTAAGCAGTTGTTGATGAATGTCTGTAGTTTATTGGAAATGCCTTTCGTAACGCGCCAAGTCTCTGAACCATACAAGAGCACTGACTTGACTGGGTTGGTGTTGAAAATCCGTATCTTGTTCCACATGCTGAGTGCAGAAGATCTCCACACTGGTTTCAGGCTAATGAACGCCTGTCTTGCTTTTCCGATTCTGACTTTGACGTCCTCGTCCGTCCCGCCTGTAGTTGAAACAGTGCCTCCTAGATGGGTGAAGGAGGTTACTTCCTTTAAGTTTCTCCCGTTGACGGTGATTGGAGTTTGTTGTTGTTGTTGATGGTGGTGGTGCGGTATCTTCATCACTTCTGTCTTCTCTATATTCACCTGAAGTCCTGTCTTCGCTGCCTCTTCTATCAAGTTGTTAGTTTTTGCCTGCAGATCTTCAAGTTTATGTGACATTAGGCATAAGTCATCGGCGAAATCCAAGTCTTCTAGGTTTTTTTCCGTCGTCCAGCGTATCCCCCTCTTATCGCTGCCTACTGTTTGCTGCATGATCCAGTCCACCACAATAAGGAATATCATGGGGGATAGTAGGCAACCTTGTTTCACTCCTGTCTTCACTTCCACTCAAAGGCATCAATCACTGAGCTTCCCATTGTGGATTACTTGGCATGTGGTATCTTCATATAGTTGTTGAATGAGGCGGATAAAGGTTTGCGGTACTCCGTAGTATTGAAGCAGTTTCCAAATTCCTTCTCGGTCGACGCTGTCAAAGGCCTTCTCAAAGTCGATGAAGTTGAGGCATTCCTATGCTAGAACTTATCTGTGCACCAGGTAAGAGTCAACAAAGGAATTGTGGCTCATCGGTTCAGTCAGCTGACTTCCAACCAAGTGAATCTCAGCTTTGAAAAACGCTCCACCTACCGATGTTTCAGCAGCCATGTGGTATCACCAACCTTCACACAATAAGTGTGGCTCATTGCCTACTATGTGAACGTGTATGTGTTTCCTGGCTTAATTCCTTTTTTTCTTCTGAGTATCGACTGGTTAAAATTAGGCGTTAGAACTCATTTCTCTTGTCTTCTAAAACTTTCACTTCCCTCGTAACTCTGAAAATCCATGAATAGTGTCTGATCATCGAAACTAGCCGCCACATTTAATAAAATTCGTCAGAAAGATGTGTCTGCAACCAACATCTCACTTTAGATTCGACCGGATATCACTCACCACAGGATTTCACTTATTTTGATTGTGATGTAAAATAATCTTGAGGAACTGGATTAATTCGTGTGTCTTTCCATTAAAACGACTTATTCATTACTTCAATCGAGTGAACACAAAAACTGTTAACGATGGTCTTCAGTTATTTCGATTAATTGTGATAGATTGCATTAAATTGACTACTAAAATTCTATCAGTAATTTCCACTAGAACTAAAATGGAATTGTTAAGTTACTTGAATAATTATTTGAGTATTTTACAACGCAATAATTATAATTCCAATTAGTTACAATCAATATTTATACGTTTTGTGTACATGCCTATTTGTCAGATATCCAATGAAGTCCATCTTTTCTGAATTTACCTACCTTCGTTGTAATTTCTTAAGTACTTTAAATCAAAGGGGTTATAAAATAATCACGTTAGAGAGTTTTTATGACTTGCGTTTTCCGTGAAGTAAAGTTCTTAATTCAATTATAGCATCAAGTATGAGCGGTATTTCTGTTTCCAATAGTAATACTTCTCTTGCTTGTAAAAACGATTTCCAGATTTTACTAATGTCTAATATCTATTGTGTCTGTGTGTTTGGGAAAATGAAAACAAATTATCTGCCTACTGTCTTGAGAGAGTATGTATATAAGCAACTCCAAAGTGAATTTATCATTTCTTTTCACTACCTTATGGCCATCTTAAGAAACTCGAAAATACACCATCGAATTACATTTTACAAACATCCTGCTAAACTTTTGAAACCACCAAAACAACACTTATTTTGTTCCATACCACAGAGATTAAATGATTCATAGTAAGTTGAGTTCAAGATTATGTATAAATTAAATCATACCAGCTATAAGCAGGAGTATACCGGATAAAGTAGGCGCTACCTAAACCCTTGAAATTGGTTCGAATTTTCGCGATTTCAGGGCTCAATCTTTGGAAACTGTTAGTGGCGATGTTCACTTGGTCAAATGTGTTCGCTCTTTACCATGTGAATTTTGATTAGTGCTCACTGAGATGCAGGTGTGTTCGGCTGATGAGTCCAAAGTAGGACAAAACGTGCACTGGAGATTCCACTCCTAGCCAAAATTCATCCTCATATCAATTTTATTTTAATCCTTTATTTATTTGCTTCTTGTTGCGTCATACGGTTTTGTTCACTTTAATATCATTCCTTTTGTATTCAGTTCTTCTTTGGGAAACGTGTCAACTCGAATTAATACACTTTGCTACCAGATATTACATTTGTTTGTGTCCTACGTTTCCGTACCATATCATGCTACATACTGGTGCACGTCGACAGCCACGGACATAAATGATCACACATTAGACATTAGACGCCACCTTAGCAGATAGTCAGTCATCAACAGAGTAGGGTTTAGAATAACTGTATTATGGTTCTAGTTGTCAAACTTTACCGCAGTACAGTTAGTAACGGAGATCATCATGGTATGAATAAATGAAAGAAAAGAGTGAGAAGGGAATTCAAAGATATGAAGTTATAAGGTTGTCAGAACTTAGCTATGTATAAGGTATCTATACTCTTAATTCTGGAACATGTCATCTAAAGCCTTTCTCTATCTTTTCCATCTACTTTTTAAACTTTAACCATAAAGCATACACTTTCTTCCATTGATCAAACCAACACTCAAGGGATTTCTAGCGTGCTACTGCTGGCAATAATTCGCATACACATTGATGGTTGTATATCAGTTGTGACTGGGAATTTCGATATGATTTTTGTTGCTCAGAATGTAATGCAGCATTATTTTCCCACAGGTTACGCTTTGATCCGGTTAAGGAGTTGTGGGTCATCGGTCTAAGCACTCGAAATCCACCTAACGGGTCATGGGTTTTACTTACACCCAACCTAACGAGGTTTACGCGATGACGTAGTGTAATCAATCTTCTTATAATAGGTATGGCTCACCGCCTACGGCAAGAAAGTGCATGGGGCTACCGACTATATTGTGGTGTTTTCGAATCCAGACACATTTTTATAATATCAGCCTTTAAGCAAATTTATAACAGTTCAACAAGGTTTCCAGATCTCCGAAGCATCTAGCGCATAATAAACTGAAGTTGGAAAAATTCTCTCAGGAAAAGCGAAGAGTTGAACTGCACTTGATTACCAACCTTATGTAACCAACAGTAATCGATATGTTACACGTTAGAGTTGTAGTTTTGCGTTAGTAATTAGCAGTGCAAGAACAAATAAAATTAAATGTAATTCTGTACATATAAATGTAAGTTAGTTTCAGCATGCTTTTCAGCAAAATATTAGGAAGACTATTATTTCAATGCCTAAAAATTTACGTGACTGGTCAGTCAGTGAATCAATATTAACATAGTACCTGGCATTAATGCCTAACGGCCCAAGTTGCCTTACCTCATATCAGCACATAAAACGAGAAGAATCCTAGATGCAAGATAGAGAAATGAGTAAGAAAGTAATCAGAAGTAGTTGAAACTTGTGAGAAGAAAGAAAAAGTGGGATAGGACAGTATTAAAACAGATAAGTAATTGATATATTACTGTAATTTCCTAACAACTGGTATGCGAAGAACGATATTTTTAACCTTTACTTTCTTCATGATTGCTATCACTTCAGCATGAACTAAGTAGTTTCACTTGGACTAAATTGTCTGTTCGCCTACAGTTGTGTGTTAATTCGAATGTCCTGCTTTAGTTATGCCTTCAGGCATGTTGCCAGACATGTTTAAAAAGTTGTCAGTTATATGTCGATAATGTAGTATGGCATTCAATACTTGGTTTTACATGGTTCGTAGTGTCAAGCATTAATTCACAGATACACGCTTTAGAAATTTTCTGTGCCCCTTTTTATTTTCGGTATAAACTTCAGTTATTTTTACTATTTAAAAAACATTCTATTCTCACCAATATGTTATAAATGATACTAAAATGTTTTCCTTTTAATAATTAGCATTGACAAAGTATCTCGGATTCTTTCACCGACGTTAATTATCCACGGAACTGATGATGAAATCATTGGTATTGACCATGGCAAGGAATTGTATTCTCGACTGACTTATCCTCTTGAACCTGCCTGGATTGAAGGAGCAGGTCATAATGATATTGAACTGTTTTCTGAGTATGCATCTCGACTAGACCGGTTTTTCAATGAAGATATTATTGATTTACAATGTGAAAGTTCCTTGAATATGATTACTTCTGTAGGAGAACCAGTTCATACCCAAGAATCTCCACTTGTCTGTCAACAGACATCATTTCCTAGCCAATCTAGTATGAGACTTTCTACCAAATTAAAAGAAAACATGATTTCAAGTTCTCAGTCTCCCACATATAGCAATACCGCTGAAGTCTTTGATGGTACAGTAGATACAGTTACGTCAAGTGTATCCGCAGATTCTACTTCTACTGTAACAAATGTATTTAAATTTGAACCCCTCGCTGATGATAATGTAGAAGCTTCTGGTGGTGACAATAAGCATGGCACAAATGGTATTAAGAGTAATACAATATCGTCTTTAACCACCTCTTCAGATAATGTCAGCAGCACACCTAGTGGAATTCCGTCCACTTCTAGTACGGCTCAGTTGTTCAATTAGATATGTACATCTCATTCTTTCACCGAAGTTTTCGGTTTAATTTTGGGGGTGAGTAAATTTCAGTTGATGTCTTCAGTTTTCCTTCGTTTTATTATGTTAGCATTTTTAAGTATGAAATGAACACTAATCATTGGATTTTAGACAAAAGAGTTCATTCAATTAAGGTATTCTTATGTACTTTTGGTAAACCAACAACCTTAACGTTACTGCACCGGCAAGTGCTAAGATCTAGGAACACTGTGAAATGAAGGCTCGTTGCTTCATTCTTTATGAAGACTTTTCTAGTTGCCTCTAAGCCTTTTCTGTCATATCAGTACTGGTGGATAGCCGCTGAAACTTACCATGAAGTCTAAGCCACTTGTTCATCCTATACGTGTATCAAATGTTAAACAAAATAAAAGCTAATTGACCTTATTCCAAAACTAAATAACCTGATGCCAAAAGTGAGGTTTTCTCCAAGTCCTGTCCCATATGTCTTTAATTTTGCTGGCGTTGATTTCGATAACAGAGATGTAGAAGTATTGTCTTTGAATCCTACCTTTGTGAGGGTCATATTAGAGTTGATAAAATAGATATGTAAGTTCAGTTCGGAAACCTATGACCATAAAGAGACGACTCATTATCTTAGTCAAGTGATGAGGGGTAAAGATTTAAGTTTACTTTAGTTCTATCGCTAGAAATACATGAAAAGTAAACAGAATGCTAAAATCATCTTAACTTAAAGGTGTAAAGAAGCTTTACGTGAATTTCTACCGAATGAGAATTCGACTAAGATTGACAGGGGGTTGTTACGTACAAAAAGAAATACTTGGATGAGGTGAACAGGTGGCTTAGCGACCATGTCAAGTTTCACGGGTTATCGACTAGTACTGATATGACAGAGGAGACTAAGAGGCAATTAGTTAAGTCTTCAAAAAGTTGCATGTGATCAACCGTGAACCTGTGTCACCTAAATTGTTAGCCTGCTACCTTGTTACTAATTGGATTCGAAACTTGAAATTCATTACTTGGTCGTATTCTTTCAGGTTTACTAATATTATACTTTATTTTATGTATTTAGCTTATCAGAAGTATCGTCATTCATAAAGTAGGATCCTATGCAGAAAATATTCGTTTCTTCCTCTTATAGACTACAACCGAAAAACCTGCAGTTACTTAGATTACTCAAATCAATGATAAGATTTAATGAACTTTTGTTTTTTCTTAGTTTGGCCACTTTAAGACCTTTTCTGACTACGATACGCAAGTCTGCAGAACATATCTCTCAGCCATCTCAAACGAATTACATTTAGTAATTAGTGCCTGATATTTTGGTTCTTCACATTTTTCTTTACATTAGAAGGCGAAATAACATGTAATCATTTTACATCTGCTTTGATTCTGGTGATTTTTTCGTCTCTAAAGCTGATTGCAGTCTATGAAAGGAGGAAATACGCATAGGCAAATTGCATTTATAATTTCAAATCATTTGAAAGTTTTTTATGATCAAATTCTGTAAATAAATTTTATTCTGAAGTTTATTGCTTTAAAATAAATAGGTGATATGGAAATGCTTTACATATGTTAGTAATTACGTATATCCGCATACGAAAAACTTTGTATTTAATTACATCAGTTTCTGTCATGTTATTTGTGTGATGCATTTTAGATATACTAAGTTTGTTTGCTATAGAGTATCGCAGTAGATTTATGTTCTCATTTAAAATATGACGAAGAAAACTGTTGCTTTTATAATCAGTTTTATCACTTTTCATCAAATAAGATTCAGTAAGAAAATTATGAATTTTGCTGGTGAGAAACGTCGCAGTTACCAATCAATGCTATTTTAGCATCTGGTGTTTGAGTAAATTTTTCTTCTCATATGTAATAAGAAATGCACTCGGTAACCACGTGCATGCTCGTGCAGTGTGCAATGAGCCACTTCTATTGTATGAAGTCTATTGAAACTGTCCGACTGCGCAAACTTCAGATGATGTGAACTAATTCGGCTGTACGAACTGAATTCGCCCTGTCATACATAGCTGATGAGCTCGGCCTCAGGCAAGCGAAATGGACTTCTAATATCTAGATCACTCTGATCTGGTTGGCGAAATACTGCAGATCATCCTGAGTGGTTTCTAACTACTCAAGTTGTTGAGTTTTTAATATATTTCGGAAGTGGGGTTTGGACTCATGACTCATTGGTTGAATGTTCACTGCCTAGACCATTCGTCCACAGCCTCACTTTCTTATGTTTTGTGGGACTAGCAAGGTAACAACGTTTTTTATGAGGCATACAGTCCACTAATAAGGTCCAAGACGTATATTAATCGAAATAGATAATAGTGGTTTTTTTCCTAGCTACCGTTTCTTCCATTTAACGGTGTCACTTTAAGTGGTATTTGTAATGAGCTACATGAAGGTCTATGTTATGAACTGAAATGAAGCTGCTGTTATATGGTCATTCAATTCACCAAATAGTTCCCTGTTGCAGCTATTTATGATTAATAAATAAAGCAAAATACAGGAAATGACAAGCTAAAAACATATTGTATATATAACATCTGCCATAAGATTCATAAAATAGTCAATAAGGCGATGTACATCACTACCTGTAAGTGGTTTACTTTATTGCAGTAACGAACAAGTTGAATAAATCTAACATACAATGGGTTTTCTGGGTAATAATTGTTTTTTCCAACAGTCCAACAGTTTCAACACGTTTTTAGCTTTACTTGAGACTTCCTGTTTGGTATCGTATGGATAAGTGATGCATCTGATGACTGATTACAGGAATATATCAAGATTTATTTTGTAGTCTGCTTCAGCTAGTGAATGTTATAATCTCATTAACCCTGCCTTTTCATTTATTTGTTCGTTCGTTATTATTGAAGTGAATAAATGTGGGAAAATTCGTTAATTTTCGATCATTTTTCGTTACGGATAAAAGTTACTCAGTGTGCCGTTGAAAACCAGAAAGCATTAAACATAGGTTTTGTTCTAATGTAGGATGATTTTGAAATTCATGATTCGACACGTGACCAAGTTTAGAGCTTTCACATTTTAATTGTTCATTTTTAACAATTTCAATCAATTCATGACAATGCAACTAACGTCGTGTCATCGGCGTCTTGTCTAACTCGCGACTGTGAAATCTGTTTTGCATTCGGCAGTTATCTTTGTATTTTTGACTATGCCAACTTGAACAGTTGTACTCTTAATGGTCATTTTGTTTGATTGTATTTAGACTAAATCAACCGTTTGAATGTATACTGGGTGGACCATAATAACTGAAGAAAATAGGATGAAAAAGTACTTTCTTAGCATACCATAGCTATTGTTGCTTGGTAATACGCTTATCGTAGAAACAGTCTATGTTTTTACGTCTGTTGTCGTCAAAAGTATGAGTTAGCGGTAATTCTATTTTGGTTTTTACTGAAAGATGCGACTGGAGTTCAAAGATACTGTAGTTGTTTTTCATAATAGCAAATATTTGTGTCACTTAACTTTCTCAGGTAACTTCCCTGTGACACGGAACTAGATTGTTCTGTTGTACTTGTACGAAAGTGAATAAAATCGTATTAACACATCATTCAGCATATACTTCGGTCAAATAGTTTACCGTTTGCAGCATATTTTGTCTGCGTATGAAGAAAACACTATGAAACTATGCGCGAAGGATATCTTTTTCGCTACAATTAATGCTTCGTTTTGTAAATAGGATTATTTTTAACGTATTTTTTCTCCTCTATTTTTTATAGGGTAGTGTCCTACAATTTATTAGCGAAAATACCAGGATGTATGGAAATTGAAAGTTTCTCACATTTTCACGTCATATGCATGCCTTTGGATATATGTAGAACAGTTTCTTAAATGTCATTTTAACGTGTACCCTTCGTGTCTGTATTGCATTTCCCCTGCTTTTGCCTGGATTTAGCCCGCGGCTGATGGAGGAAAAGTAACGGGGTTTATCTCAGCGATTTTTATTTTAAAACTTGGCTAAATATGCCTTGTAATTGTTTTAAGGAAGAAAACTATAAATCTATGTCTTCTTATTTTGTTTTTCTCATATCATTTCACTGTGCTTTCTTGTGGCATATAATACTTGCAGCAAGTCTTATTCACGATGCACCTCTAAAGTGTTTAAAAAAAGAGTTTGCATTTTGCATAAACTGACTGTATACTTGCTTATTTCCGAATCTGTAGTTGTTTCTTTTCTCCTTATGATTCGATTATATTCCCATAAATTGAGAAAATTCCCCTTCTCCTCTCTCTCGTTTGGTTCTTTTTTGCATTTTATTATTTAGGTTTAGAAAAAATGGGAAGTATGCGGGAATGTCCATGTGTTAAACATACACTTATATATGTAATCTCTCATAGCTGTATAAATCTCAAGTAGAAATGTATGATTCAACTATTTGATCCGTTCTACTTATTGTTATACTGCGTACACTTTTAGGTAACGTGGTCTCTGAAATATTGTTCATTTATTATTACTATTACTAGCAGTGAAATATAGTTCCTCACACCTTTGTTTTCTGTTTTGCTTTACTAGTAATCTTCATTATTGTTATCTAGATGTCTTGTTTCTTTTTGTTTTCTTAACCATTTTCTTTTCATCCTTTCCCTTTGAATGGCTAGTTGCTTTGCTGAAAAAGTGGATTGATCAATAAGATGGATATACTCTACCTGTTTCAGGAATCAGTGTTCACCGAAAAATTCTCTTTATTGTAGTATTCTTGCTATTACTATTCTATGTATGATTTCAGGTATGTTGATTGCAATGCAGGTGTAGTAATTTGTTTATTTATTTATTCTGATTTAGGAATAAATCTTTGTTTCCTTCCAGGTGTTTTAATTTTTTCTGAAAAAGAGCAAGAATAACAAGTTGAACTGAAATAACATTAGTGCATTCTATCTTCCCAGTTTGCTTGCAACCTGGAATATTGAGGATTTTCAATAGGAATTTAGAATACTCAAATTCACTGAAATAAAAATAAATCCAGTAAATAAGGTATCTAAGAATAAGAAGGTGTAGTAAAGATTTATAATGATATATTTAGAAGGCGTACCATTGTTACAGTTATTCTCATTATTCATTTGAAATATAGCGAAATGTATTAGGGATAGCGAAAAGTTAGTGTGGAGATTAGAATGTAAGACTGCGTAAGTAAGCCAAATGATAGAATTGTAAAAATATGCACAAAATATAGTAAGTTAAATTCAATCAACTGGGATTAAAGCCACCACGAGTATGCAACATTTAATAAAAGGTTATGTTTTAAGGTGATGACTAAGACCTAGGCTAATAAAGCAGTGAGGAACTGATATTGCGTTCCTTTTAAGCACCAGTCAGATATTTCATATCCATAACTTCGACAAATCTTAGGAAGCACTAGCTGGGTTACTTGGTTATCGTCTTACTAGGTTCCACGATGTTTTTCAATCAATCAAATACTGATAAGTTTTGCTATTGAAAATCTTATCTACCTCTTATCTTTAGCTGTTTGCTACGTCTACAAAAAATCCGTAGTATACTTTACTTTCTGGTGCTACTATACATCATTTTCAGCAGCTGCATGTAAACTGATAAACCCAATTACAATTTTGAACTTTTTCATAGAAGTACTATTAGAACACAAAGGTAACCATATCAGATTAAACTTCCTACTGTGAGTTACTTTGGCCATCATCATATTTGATGAACACTGTGTAGAATATAAATCTCTACTAATTCAGTATTCATCCTATAATAAGCGCACCTGACTCCAATCGAAGCGAATATTCCTAACTTTTTTTTCTTCAATATCACGAAAATTGCTGATCAGCCTTCTTGAGATATTTGAGAACAAGCAATAATTTAGACAGAAGGCTGTATTAGAAGAATGATCAAGTTCAAAATATTCAGTAAATCAATCATTCATTGTCAAAACAAATACATATTTAATATGCTCAATGTTTGCGATATAGAATGTTACGCACCTCTCCTCCTACGATGAAGATCTAGAGGATAATATCGGTGTTGGATACTAATAAATCACAAAAGTGCTAACACATTATTTAGGAAAAATCTGGTACATGTAAAACAAAACGTGTGGAACTAGGTCATAACGCATATAAGAAACTATTAGGTTTCTGAAATACTCGACACTGAGATTATCTATATGTGAAAATAATTGAAGATTTTTAGTCTGGATAGATACTAGTTTTATTGCACAAAAACAGATATATGCGTGAATAACTGCGATTTAATGAAATCTGTATCAGTCCTAAGGCAACATTAAAGTTACATGAGTGCAAGAGACTAGCAACGTGGCATGGAATAAAACACAATAACAATACTTATAACGTTAGGTCAAACAAATAGTTTGGAATAAAAATAAAAGAAGAATCTGTGAGACTGACATATGTAATGCCTTAAAAAAAGAATTTCGAGAGATTTCGCAAGTACATTGGGATGTGTGATAAGAACAATGGACACAACAACAACAAAAGAGATGAATGTGGTTACATTCAACATAAATCTGTAGCAAATAATGTTGAGATCAGCGAATAATTCATCTAATGCTGGCGTTTCTGTTTGGAACCATATTTCTAAGTTAAGCTGTTTCATCATCTCAAATCTATTGCAAGCTTTATCGGTCTTCATATGTTTCACTGTGGTTTCAGATAATGAATCACTTGTGGTTGATTTCAGGAAAGTTGGACGTGTTGCATCGATTTGTATGGTTTACAGCTCATTTCATCACTTCCAATGAAAAAGAAGCATATAGCCTGTGTAAAAAGCTTAACTTTTTCAGCAAATAGCTTTGAATGACAGATAAAGACTCAAAAGATCACTTTCATGCCACTTGCTTATCAAACCACTAGAGAACTCACCCTCTGAGTTTTTCCACATTCCTCACCAAAAGGTATATGACTTCATTCTTCAAGGAAAGGCACTGAAGTATAATTCTGCTAGCCAGCTATGACTGGTCAATGTATTGAATTAGTATTTTTTTAAGCCAGAAAATGTTCATCTAAATACTTTTATTTACATTTTAAAATAACTTTTAGTATGTCAGTGCTGGAATGTTACATCGATCAGCTACGTAACATGATGTACCGCTATCCAGTCGCCAATTACCGTAGTCGAAATACAGAAGTTGTCTTGATATAGTCGTGTTTGTGCGAAAAATCGATAACATCATCTGGTAATAATGCGCTTTATTTATGTTGGAGATCACATTTTCAAGCTCCTTTTACAATGCCCAATGTTATAAATTTAGTGAGACTGGGCACATACATGCAGTTTGCAGAAATTTGAGTTTTCTGACTTCCGATGTTGCACGTGTTTCCTGTGAACTAACGCCAATGGTTAGGCTTGCTAAACAAAAAGTTGAACTGCGAATCTAGGGAAGTTTTACTCGCTTATTGTTGGCACTGAAGGTGGTAAAATGTGACCACCTAAAAGTTCGCACTGTTTGAGAAAAGTGTCATAGATTCTGGCTCTAATACTAGTAGTTTTAATACTAATATCCTGCCACTTATTTCAGTTTACAGTTCTGGTACAGATAAGAGGATTATGATAGGTTGATGGAATAAAACAAGGCTATATATAAACTCTGGTATTAAAACTGCACGTGTTTATTTGCATAAGAACAGAATTACCTGCTTGCTTGGCGCTTGAAGTTCATTCTATTAGAAGGACGACTCTATATACCAGTGTTTTGGTCTCTAGACATTTGTACATTTTAAAGATTGGTGGGACAATGACTTTGGGGACATTAGGGAGGGACAAGTTTATAGCCGACTCGCAAATATGTTGGGGTCAGATTGGAATCCACTATAAAGGTCCCCGCGGACTTAGGTTTCTAATGTCTAGAGATACTAGGAATTGTGTGGAAACATGAAATAAGGATTCAAGCGAAACAAAAAGGAGTGATATGTATTTGCTAACCGTGATGCAGCCTGCAACGTTCTGGACCAATATTTAAAGTTAAGTAACGTCCATTAGTTTGCGAAAATGAAACTATGAGTATTGTCAATAATTAATGAATGTAAAAATTATTCACAAGCTGTTTCATGATGATGATATCACATCAAATTGAACATATTCTGCCATGATCCTATCATCAGATCCATGAAATGTCTTCAAAGTCTTCACTGTTTCAAAAAGATACTGATCTAGTTTTGTCGGATTACGTGACAACTGCAGATGAAGTGAATTAATGAGTAGATGATTGTATTAACAGTATTTCTAGGTTCATAGCAGGTATCAAGCTTTTATTTAATGTCGAGAGAGGTGAACGTGTATCTATTTGTGAAACCAATTAAACATTAACTCGTTTCACTGCTATAGTATATACGTAAATTACTACATGTTCATAAAGTAGGCTATAGACTTTTTATTTTTACTTGGATTAGCTAATTTTCTGTTAACACAGAAATATTAGTTTCCATTATTAAATATGGTATGAAGTAGAAGTTATTCATTATTCCAGACCACAGTTGTAGGAGTGCGCAAATTTCTTCTATATTACAGATAACACGTTTGTTTCGAAAGTTTTAATGCAGAAAATAGAATTATTCGGTGTACATGTCAACGCTTTTTACTTGCGTGAATAATCAAGAAACTCAACAAGAAGTTGATTTCTCTATAGACTTCAACTAAATCAACAGTGTGGTATCACCTACGAATATCTAGTAATCAGCTGCCACATAAGACACCTTGGTCTGAAAACTACAACCCCAGTAGTCAGTGAAGATTGCTGACGTCAGCTGATATGAAAAATAGCCATCTGTTTTGCATCACCAGTAAGCGCACTTGACT